ATGCCGTTAACTAGAGCTTTAACGTACAATGGCATCAAGTGTTTGGTCAATTTCATGGCTGGTCGCTTAAAAATACCCTTTTCGACAGCATCTATTTCCACTTCTTGCTTGTCCTCTGTTGAGTTACCCTTTTGTGATAAGTCAACGTGCAGCATATCGCACTGAGCCTCTGCCTCATGAATTTCCTTTTTACTATTTTCTAATGTTTCTTCTTCAGTTACCGAACCTATGGGAAAAGGCATTATTCTTGGAGGTAATCCATACTTTTCAGAGCGAGGCACTCTCTTCTTTCTTTTGGGAGTCCCGTACAGCACGTAATAATCAAAAGAACGTCCAGATGGTTCTCCCAATAAGTCTACTTCACGAACTCCCTCTCGATGTAGTTGCTTCAATAGAGTATTGTGCGATACTCCTCTTCTTCTCCTTTCCAATTCCAGATCGATTTCCTCTTCGATGTCTGTCATACCATCATCTTCTTCGCCATTGTAGGCCTCTCTAGAAGTTTAGCCTTCTTTATATTCCAGCATGCATGCTTCCTCTTCGTTATCCTTCTTTTCTTCTTCTCCTTTTTCTTTATTCTTGAACTCATTGGCTAGTAAATAGTTATTAGTCACGACAGGAGGTAACATACCAAATTGAATAGTAAGGGGCTGATCTGGATCTTCTCCATCCCTTCCGTCTCGCTCAAATTTCAACCTCCTAGAAGAAGTCTCTGGCAATTTTTCCATAGGTTCGCCTGTACCAGTCTCTTTACTATCTCTAAGAACATTCTGATTGGCTGTCTCGAGTAGTCTAGGTGCCTTAGGACGTAGCATTCCCTGTTGTTGCCTCATCATTCGCCCGTAGTTCCGTTGAAAATGCCTTTGTTGGGTTCTAGTCATCTCGTTGAAAGGTATTGCCCTTCCAGCCTCATACTGGAACGAATGCCATACATTTGGTTGGCGAGGTTGCGGTCTGAATGTTCTCCCATTATTTACTGGCCTAAACTGCCTCTCAAAAGGCGGTCCCTTATAAAACGATGTACCCCGCCCTCTACCAGGCTGAGCGTTTGGGAAAAAACTAGGGCGATGGTGATGCTGCCATATCCCTGGTTTCTCTGCATTTGCACTCACTTCTTTTTTGCATTTTGCGCATAGGACGTCTTCGTCCTTTTTGGGCTCCTTCCCTTTGATACGTTCAAAAACACTGAGATGTGGTCCAGGGTCTTCTTCTCCATCATCTATAACCAACTTGAATTTTGGCAATTTGTTTTTGAAACCAGACATCACCATGTTCACTCCAAGTGGCTGTGGAAAAGGATTTTCATCCACTGCCATCTTCCTTTTATCCTCGAACGTAATTCGTCCTAATTCAATGGCATCCTGTAACACATGGCCAAAAACCAAACAGTTGTTAGTCAAATGTGACCATGCATTATGCCACTTATAATATTTTTTACCCTTAACTTTTTCAGGGCTTGGCAATTTATGCTTATCGCTCAGTTTTGTCTGCTTATCATTATATAATTTATCAAATATAAGGTTAGCTTTGGTTACATCGAACGAGAACGTTCTAGCCTTTATGTTTTCATCTTTTATAGGCTCATCATTGCCCGACGGTCTAGGCTTAGCCATTATAGGACAAGTATATGTGTCTCCTTTAACTAATTCGGCCAAACACATTTCGATTTGATCGTAATACTCGTCATTAATGGTATGAACATCAAAATTTGAGTCTCTGTAATAAGTCCCCTTGTTAGAATTTTTCATTTGTTCTTCTTCTCTTATTAATCGTTCATACCTAATCACGTTCGCGCTCAATCGGAAAAGATCAGAAAATTCCTTATCTTGGAATTTCTTTTTCAAATCAAAGCTTAAGCAATCTTGAGCGATTTTGACAAACTCCTTTTCGGGCAAAGGTACAAAATATTTACTTCTTGCCGTCTTGAACCTTTGAAGGAAACCTTCTGCCCATTCGTTTGGCATTTGACGTAGATTCGCCGGATCGGCCAAAGTAACTTCAGACTCAGTCTTATAAAACTGAGCATGGAACAATTGCTCCAATTGTTGCCGTGTTTGGACAGAGTTTGCTGGCAAATTGATGAATCAGGAGAAGGCTACTCTTGTTAATGAACTAGGGAACAACCTCATTTTATGGTAATCAGTTACGTCACCACTTTGCAGTGTGAATCGCCCTATGTGTTTTAGAGTAGACACCTCTCCTAAACTGGTAAAAGTGAGAACTCTGGTACTTTATACCCTCTAGGCCATGGATATGCTTGGTCTACCCAATCAGAATATGACTTTGTGTAAGTCGGCCTAATGACAGGACGTACTCCAAAAGCCATCTGGTCCTGTACGATTTCCATAATCTGATTCCTCAACATGACGTTGGGGTCATATGGAATTCCTACAGATTGGTTGACCGGTTGATTTACTTGAGGCCTGATGTTTGGTCCTTGGTTGGTAACAAAGTTGCCATAATTTGGGCCATTGTTACCATTAGCCTGAACATTTATTCCATCATTAACACGTGGGGTATTCTGCCCATTATTTAGGACATTATCTCTTACATTTAGATTACCCCCCAAGTTAGATGTACCAATGCCAATATTCTAATTTGGTATTACACCACCCCCTGGTTTGAAGTAGAGGGGATCAAAATGTGGTTCTACCCCTCAATTTAAACTTAGTACTGGGGGATTATGTCCCACAATTGTCCTAGTTTGAGAGTGGTTTGCAAGAGGCACAACTGGCTGACAAATTTGGCCTACTAACTTATTCATTATTTCGTTCAAAGTATTCAGTTGTTTGGCCATGTTGTCATAATGTGCATTCCCATTCTGGGTAATCTTTCCACATTATGAATATTTCGTAGATTTACCTGTTCAACGACATCTTGTGTGAGTTCTCCGAGTAATGCACGCATGGTTCGAGGACTCAACTCTGTCATTGGTTCGTAACGATTGTGATTGCTCTGATTCTATCCATCTGTTCGTGGAGAGCTATGCTGCTCCTCATATCGCTTGATCACGAACTGTACTCCTCCCTGACTTGCTGTTTCCTTATCGAATTTCTGAGGCATATTGTTTCACCTTTTGTATCTTCAACACTAAACACCAAGGTCCCACTGGGCGTGCCAAATTGTTTCACGCTAGTAGTCGCTAACAATTGAAAAGGGATCAGACGATTGTGTAAGAAACAAATCTCTTGAGACAAAATCTCAAAAAGGGGTGTTTTATTGGCGATGACTTTACAATTGGAATTTAAACAGAATGTCTCCAAGAGGCGCAAGCACACGAGTACTGAAAGATATGTTTAAGTCTAAACTAAGAAATTAAAATTACATATTCTCTGTTTGAGAGTGTTTGATTCGGGGTCTTTTCCTTTATGTCTTTTCTTCTTTTTATATTCTTTTAATGATCTCTTCGTGATCAACTGCTTAGAAACCGTTTAATTGCTTTATAACTGCCCACTTTCTTCATGGTGGCCAATTTATCGTGGAACTGCCGTCTCTAACTGCTGCCACTACTCTTTGTCGTTCAACCGTCTTCAACTGAACATCCTTAAATCGTGGAACGTGATAAGATTACTTAATAACTGTTTCGATAACTGCACTTTTGGATAACCATAACATCTTATGTTTGCTAAGATCCTGGGCGATTCGAAGGTTTGGGCGAGAACAGGGTCATAATCCTGGGCGACTGCAAGGCACTTCATTTGCTCAGATCTTGGACGTCTTGCAAGTTTGGGCGATGGTGTTACCGCATTCGTGGGCTTCTACTGCATTCATTAATAACCCTATTTGGGCCTTTATCCTGAATTAACCAGTTGGGTTTCATTCTTTGGGTTATTCGATTTGGGCTGCACTTTTAGCGTGTCAACAATAGGCCTGTTCGATAGTGATTATGAGAATTGATTTTTGAACCGTTAGAAGTAGGTTCTACCTATGAGTAAAGAAGTCAAAAATGACAGCTGAAATAGTGAAATAACTGTCAAAAAATTGATTTTTTGGAGTGAAAATTGCTATCAAATGGGGGCTTAGTGTTTGTTTGACACCCAGTAGTTTAAGAATTATTTTTAACTACACATTCACACAATTTAATATTCTACAAGCATGTAAAAAACTTTTCCTTACTTTTTAACCACACATTCTCTTAAAAATTAATATTTAAAACTCCTTTTTCTACAATAATGATTGTCAAACAGGTTCTAATTTTGAAAGAGTTGAATCAGTCAGCATATTACCAATTAGAAGGATTGCATAGCCTTTTTTAGGAATACTGGGATATCTTGTACGATGTATGATTGTATTCTCTATTTAAAGAGTGTAAACTAATTGAAATGGATGGAAAGAAATTTATTGGTATTTTATGCTTTTGAGTATCTTGAAAACTCAATTTTGAAGGTCAATACCTCTATCGAGTCTACTATAATTATTTATTTCATTAAAGAAAAATATCGTGTTTGAATTAGTGAGTCATTTGAATTTGTGACCATTGTGCATGATTTGGGTCCTTCAAGAGCTATTTGAGTCAGTCAGGATGTTTGATAGCTTCTTAATTCTCTAATTGTTTACATTCGTTTTATTGTATTGATTCGATTGATATATTGAGTAATTATATGACACCGAGCGATTGCAATTGGTGTACCACATTAAAAATACAACTTGTCAAACTCTAGATTTTCTCACGTAAATATGGGAAGGCATTAAAGTGTTACAACGTTAATTTTCTATCTTTGACATGTGATTAAATTAAACATGAAATGATCATACAACATGCAGTACAATTACTCTTCTACCAACCAAGTTTTAGGGTGTATTCGAGCCATTTTAATTTTAAAAAATGTATTATGGAATAGTAGATTGATGGAGAATGTATAGTTAAAAAAAGAATGAAATTTTTTTAGTTTACGTGTAATATTATTTTAATGAAAAATGTATAATTGAAAATAAGTACTATAGAAAAAATAATGTAATAGAATGTAAAATAATGGGTGACAAACAGGAGCTTAATCACATTGGGTACCCGACTTCCCTTACAAACAATTTTTTTGCGAGTACGAATGTCCTCTATCTACGCATTAGAAATAACACTGCGAGAGCTCCGACATTTATTTTATTTTATTTTATTTTTTTCACTTTTGCAACGGATTAATATATAGAAGAATTTTTTTTACGAAAAAATAAAGCATAGGGTCGGCCATATCTTCGTCCCTGCTTGTGACGTATTTATTCCAAACGATACCTTGGGAGAGGGACACGACCGAATTATTTCGTTAATCTCCCCACAAAGTGAACTCGCTATAATTTTCATCCTCATTGCTCCACCTAAATCCATTCTTCATAGCTGGTGGAGTTAAAAGCATCCCCTCCGCCATGCTGTCTAGCAAACTAGGCATGTTGAACATTGCCTCCTCGTCCAAGAACTCGTTTTCGACGCTTAATAATTTCAGAGGTTTTATTTCGAGATTTTCACTCGAAATAATCGACGAATTCAGAGAATCAGAGGAAGAACAAGGGAATAATTCCATTAATGGTGTTGCAAAATTATAAGCAGCTTGAAGAGCAGCAATTTGTATATCTTCATGGGATGAAGATTTGGCCCTAGGGAGGCACCAGGCGGAGTCGTTGAAGTTCAGGGCAGCGTCGCCACCTCGCAGGGCCAACGCGGCCACATCGTGTGCCTTGGCTGCCATTTCTGGGGTGGCGAATGTCCCTAGCCATATTCTTGATTTCTTCTTCGGTTCACGCACTTCACACACCCATTTGCCGTGGTTCCTCCGCCGTACTCCTCTGTATACGGGGTGGCGCGTCTCCTTAAATATCTTCCTCCCACCTCTTTTCTTATGTGCAGATGGAATATTAGGTTTTACTGTCAGAACTTCATGGAATGAAGAAGGTGATGAATTGTCTTGATGATCCATAGACATAATTATGAAAATTTAGGTTTATCGATAAGAAAACAACGTGTTATATAACTAGTTCTAGGGGTGGATTGAGAAATCTGACTCTACGAACCTAATAAAAGACTAGACTAGCGAAAGAAGCGAAAGAAACTTGAGGCCTATGAAAATGAAACTAGCCCGTTATATGACTTGTGGTAGGGATGGATCGAGAAACCTGACTCTACAAATCCCAATGAAAGACTATGCTATGGTAAATGGGCATTGTGCTCTTTGTAGTATTAGCAAAAGAAGTGATTGAAATCCATTTTGTGGGTAGCAAGTGATTGAATCTATTCTAATTCTCAACGAATTCTTAAAATTTTAGACGGACGGGGATTGTATGTTAATTGGATTTCTCAATGTTTTTATTTTATGGAAGAGAACTAACATATATATATACTTGTTCGTGTGTGGAAAAGATTCTTGATTAGGAAGGATCGCATAACAGAAATTTTTTAAAATGATTTTCTTAATTGGGAAGGACCGCATGACAGCAGTGTTTAGAGAGAGAAACATTGCTTAATAGCCCCCATCCCACGAGTTTCACAAAATTTAACAAATGATCTAGAGCATTTGCTGGAGAATTTGGGCACGTGAGGATTAGGTAAGCAATAAAAGGACATGTGGAAAATGAATAAAAGCAAAGAACATGACGGTTTGTTGGGTTCAGACAGTAATTTGTAGGAAAATAGAAAGAGAGAAAATTTGAGATTGTGCCCCCACAAAAATTGCCTGGCTACTTCCCGTTTCAAATGTTGTCGTCAACTTTTGTTGTTAAAGATTCAATTCTAATTTTTCAGTCACCTTGATAAAACGCACGTTTTTTTAACTCAAATTTTTATTTTTTAGGATATGAATTTCCAATCAATAATTTAATTTAACTGGTCTCTTAAAATGTTGCATATCTCTCACATGACGTCCTATTCTAAGAGTGTAACGTACAAACCCTTTTTTGTTGCCGTTTGTATCTCTTCCTTTTCTTCATTTATATCATAAATCCCACGTCGATAATCCCTTGCCTTGACTTCTAGTCTGTGATTACTCTCTCTTACACCAGAATTTCCTTAACCTTGAGTAGTACCGTTGACAGGGCTAAATCAAAAGGAAAAACGAGTTTGCTTATGTAGTGATACATACGATCACTTTGTTTTCGTAAATCATGTCTCTTAGTTGCCCAACCGTAAATCGATTGTCATGAGCATATAAATAAGACATAAACGTGTGACTTCAAGTCTTTTTTTTTTTTTTTTTGGTATACTCTACAATTTGACACACTCTTGTAGCTTAAAGGTCTAGTCGTTGACCAGACTAGGGGAAAGTAACAGTGGATGAAACCCCGCGGGGAATAACCCAGGGTGCAAAGGACAGGAGTGAGGTAATCTCAACCTTGCTTACAGCTCCAGTGTGAGGGTTCGATTTCTGATATATGGAATTGAACTGAACTATTTATGGGCACCAATGTACTGACAAATTCCTGTTCCCTGGCCTACTGCGGCACATTCCTCGATTTACCTTCCTCATGATGCTCCAAGGACGGGGCAGTGGGGCTCTCAAGATTGGGATTCAACCTTTTAACAGTGGATGAAGAAGAATATTGTATTTATTTCTTATTTTTTAAAATTGCAATCTTCAAAGTTTCAATGGTTCTGGGATGCTTAAAAAAAATTCACGTGGATGATCACAATTAAATTATAAGAAACAACGTTTTGTTGTATTTTAAATTATTTTTTCAAGTTTTTTTCTGAAGGGTGTACTCATTATTTTATCAAACGTTCTTCACCATGTGAGATGGATACTATCAATTAACAAAGTTTTGGATGGAATCAGTGAGTAGGGACCTCAAAATGTTGCAAAAATTAAAATTCGGGACTCAAATGTCGAAAGATTTGATCGGAGAACATCAAATGCTCCTTTAACTATAGTATGGGGATTTTAGGTGCCAATATACCTAAACATGAGTAGCAATTTACTTTGAAAATATTTCCCAAAAAAAAAATAAAAAAATGGGATTAAATATTTTTAGTTTTTGAGAAAACGCTTGAATCCTAAGACGAAGAAACTATCGTGCAAAATAAGTCTCTTAACGATCCGTTTGATTATAAAGATGAAAAAGGCAAATCAATTCTTTGTAAGTTGGAAAAGAAAAAAAACCATCAAAACCATATGAATTAGATTTTCACTCAATTGGCCAAAAACATGCTTTAAGGCCCTGTTTGGTAGGGATTTTTTGCCCCAAAAAATTGATTTTTTGACCGTTATTTTACTATTCAAGCCGTAATTTTTGACTTCTTCTCTCACATGTGGACCCCACTTTTCTTCTAACGGTCAAAAAATCAATTCTCAAAATCTCTACCAAACGGGCCCTAAGTGTTTGTACCTTGAAATTCGAACTACATTTCCACTTCGTATTAAACAATCAAAGTAGAAAACAAATTCATAGATATGACATTTTTTATGGAATTTAATGCTATCAAACGGACCCTTAGGATAATTTAGATGGTCCCTACAAATCAATGTAACGACTTCAGAAAATGAAAAATGCAATATGGCTCATAGTATTATTAATTTCTAGTCGTGTTAATATTGCATACTAGGCCCATGTTTGAGCCACATTTTAGCAAAAAACGCATTAATCATAATTAATAAATGAGAAATGTGTGATTGGAAAATAAGGAAAAGTTTTAGATTTGCGTATAATATTATTTTATTGAAGAATGTGTGGTTGAAATGATGTCAAATCACTGTTAAATAATGTATTTTTTTGAAAATAATGTGGCTCAAACAAGCTCTAGATATGTAATTTTGATATGCTCGACTAATTTGTTACGCGATATTTTGTCATCTAATATGTTACACCACAATAATGAACACAAGACAATCAATGTTACCATGTTGGTATAGGGGTGACAAATGGGTTGAATTGCTTGTGGTCTTGACTTGTGCCAACTAGGTCCATGAATAGTTTGGGCTCATTTTGAGATATAAGTCATGAGTCGAGCAGACCCAATCATCCTCTTTTTTTCAATAGCCGACTCATTTTTTGGCTTGTTTTATTAATTACTTTTGAAAATTGAGCCAACTTTGGGCTCGTGGATAGTTTGATTGGACCTAGAGCCGGCCCTAGCATAAGGCAAATAAGGCCACTGCCTTGGGCCTCAGAATTTGAAGGGGCTTCCCAAAAAAAAAAAAAAAAAAAACCCCAAGAACTTGCCATCCCAAAGCCACTCAAATCCATTGAAAAAACACAAAATTAGGCAGATAAATGGAGAACAAACCATTTGTTTCTCCAATTCCAGTACGACGCCATGAGAATCATGATAAGCTTGAAGAAATTCAGAGAAAAATATGGTATCGATCTTGAAAAGTAAAACCTGCCAGCAAAACTTCTGGCGAGAAATCATCGGAGTGACGATTACCCAACTAAAGGTTCGGCCTGCCTTTTCATCCCCTTCGACGTTGCACACTTGCACTAGCCTGTGGATGATTGACCTAAGGTTTCAAGTTTCACTTTTTAGGGATCGCGATTGTGTGTTTTTCATTAGTTTTGGCTCTTATTGCCTCTATCAAGAACTAGTTATTACTATTAATCATGTGCTGATGTTTAAATCCATTCTTATTGAGGATTGGTTATTTGGTTTCTTCTTTTACAGTTTTACATTTTGGTTGGGCTATGAGAGTATTTGTTATTTGTATAATTTATATTGATTATACCATAGGATATTAGTTGTATTTAGATAACATAGAGGAATAATAAGATTATTTTATTTGTTCTTCATTTATATGTATATACTTTTAGTGTCCATATTATTCTTAATTCTTATGCTAGCCTAATCTCTCGGGTTGTGAGCGAAGTTTTATTTTGCTATTTTATCTTTTGGATTGTATAAAGTTTTCTTTTTAATATAAAAGTATTAAATATTTAAATATTTACATGTTATTGCACTTGTACAATAAATATTATACTAAAGGACTTCATAATAACTACACGCCTAGAGTCTCTAAATTCTCGGGTTCGGCCCTGATTGGACCCATGAGGTCTGAGCCAAAGGACCAAACAAGCGTAATTTGTGGATACAAGCAGACATGGTTCTGCCCCCTACGACCCTTATGTTGGTATAGGGATGACAAACGGGTCAAATTGCTCGTGGTCTTGGTTTGTCCCGACTAGGTCCATGAACAGTTAGGGCTCATTTTGAAATAAGTTATGAATCGAGCCTCTTTTTTTTTTCTTTTTCTTTTTTTTATGAGCTTACTCATTTTTTGGCTTGTTTTATTAATTTCTTTAAAAAAATTAATCGACTTTGAGTACGTGGATAGTTCGACTCGACCCATGAGGTCAACGAGCCAAAGAACCAAGCAAGCCTAATTAGTGGAGACAAGCGGGCTTGGGCCGGCCCCTACCACACCTATGTTGGCACCAAATTGATCCAAGTTAGGGGTCAATATTTTGGTCTGGATCCCACCTACGCTCATCATCAAGCATTGACTGCACTTGACCCAAATATGACTCGTAAAATGGATATGGGATTAAAGGATGTAGTTGAATTAATCATTATAACATTAAAATATATATATGTTAGCATCCTCACATCAAGGATCCGTATTATAAGTCGATCATGTTACATTCAACATGACATGAATTCAAAATTTAGTTTGACAAGATGATTAATTTTTTATCGAGTACTAGTTGTAATTATGGGGATAGATTAGTTTGGTAGTATCAAGCTCATCACTTAACATGATGGATTGAAGATTGTTGAATCAGAAAGTTGCAGGGTCTGCTTGGGAGTTTTGGGGGAGACTGACTATGGGCATTTTTTTAAAGTATATATTGGTTTGAAGCTCTCTAAGAGTGAACTAGTGTTGAGTGAATTTTGGTAACGATTTTTAAAACAATTACAATTTATAATTTCTTGATGAATTACTTATTCATTAGTATAGCAATATTTTACTTATAAAGTAATTTTTCACATATAAGTTAGGAAAATGCCTCCTGCACAGGCCCTATTGGCCTGTACAAGGTATTTCACATGAGGGTGGACCTCACACGTGGACCCTATGTGTGTGTACCTATACAGGCTCTGTGCAACAGAGCTTGTGCATGTAGCACTC